TGTTGCCTTAAGCTCTTTTTATAATAACTAGGTAATCTGGGAATCAATACCGTTTATAAAATGATCTGATATGACAATGATACATGCAAAAATGCAATAAGAGCATACAAAAGAAAATCAATGTTAGTTGAAACAAGACTACAAGAATCAAGTTAGATGAAAAAGATTAGTCCATAATCTTAGCAAAAATAAATAAATATGACTCAAAGTTGAGGCTGAAAAAAAGTATACAAAGAAAATTAATAATCCTAACCGCATGAGTTCTAGTTCTCCTAGGCTATCCATATAGCTCTAGCGGGATAGGCTTATTAAATTCTCTATATGAGGCTGGGTTCTAGCAAAGGGTTCCCAAGCCATTTTTACAACCTGCTATGGTTGCCCCCGATTCTGGCCCATTACAAACTTTCGAATCGGGTTCAGCTCAGGGGATCACACCACTAAAAGTGTACCTCGGAACTGATATCCGGATAGGCAACTTAGGGTGCTTTCCTAAGATACTTTGTCAGACCCCCACAAAGAAGCCCAATGCTCCTCGTGAGGTGTAACGTTTCTCTCTACTTAGGTAAATCGAGATTGAGCTCTGGTTTAGAGCTATGATATGCAACAATCCTAAGTATTTCACATAAGTGTAAGCATTAACCGGAGAGAAAATTATATTTTTTTGAAAAAAACATAATGAACCATAAATTAAACAAGATCGAACTCGTAATTTCCAAATAATAAATATAGGGTAACCAACTCGTGGCTCGACTCTCAATTTGTTTAAAAAACAAAAGTTCCCAGCGGAGTCGCCAAGCTGTCGACACCGTTTTTCTTCTGGGCGGGGAAAGACTGATACCGAGTCGGGGGTTTTCTCTTTGAAAATCGTTTCGAATTTGAGGAGTCGCCACTAATCATTTAAGGTGAGATTGGAACACCATAAAAAACCGGGTGATTTTAATAAAACATTTTATTTTAATAAAATATCGAGTTTTAGGGTCTGTGAAAATCTAGAAATCAAGTTTGGGAGTCAGTTACGTATGGGGAAGGATTAGCACCCCCACAAACGTCCAAAAATTGGTACCTAGTTGATTACCCTATAATTAAAACTGGAAATTTTGAGTTCGATCTTTATTTAATTTAAAAATCATTAAGGATGCAAAGTTTAAAAAGAATATTCGTTTATTGAGACCGATAACATTCGCCCCCGAGCGTAAATGCGGAAGATCAACTATTATGTCTAATAACCTAACATTGCCTTGTTTTTAGAAAACATGATGTGATTTTGAAAAGGATATCGACTTATTTAGGGAATTACCAATAGTCACCCCCTGAGCACGATCACAGAGGATATACTATTAACTACTTAATAAGTGAACAATGCCTAAAGTTTTAAAACAATGCAATCAAACAAAATTTTATTTAATCTTAATTATACTAAAAATAAATTAAGGCTTTTTCTAACCTACGATGTCAAATTATGAAAATTAAAGAACCTAGGGGCTCAAACCTAAATATGTAAGTTCTAATATTAATCCTATTCGAGTTTAGTTAATTATTGAGTACAATAACCGAAATGGTCCCTCTAGCTTTTAAGCAAGAGCCGCTTCGAATTATCCCCTAAATTAAGAGACTAATTTGAAATCTAAGTTAAAATGGAGGCTCTAGTTAACCTATTTAATTATGTCAATATTAAGAGTTTAATCAAAGGCAAAGGACTAAAAGGATCAAGGTCTAAAGAATCAAATTCTAAAAGATTTAAAAGTTTAGGACCTAAATCAAAAATTTCTAAAGTCAAGGATTAATTCTAAACTAAATACCTAATTATTATCTAAATTATTATACCTAAATCGAATAAAATTTCTATTTATGCCTCCACGCCGGCCTCCAACCACCGGCGTTATTAACCGTAACTCGATATTTCTCACCCACCGACCACTGCTGAGGTTTGAGTTTAATCCTATGGCATGCTAGACAACCATCCTTACTAGTTCCCCTCTCATCGGCATTTACTATATAAACAAGGCAAACATTATAATACCAATGTATGGGAAATCCTACGCATATTTAAGATATATTTATTATGGTGCTAGATCTGTTTATTATGAACCTAAACAAAGCTTATAATGGCAGCCACATTAGTATAATATGAACAAAACTGAAAGCCTAGCAATGTTCCTGTATTTTCTATGTAACATGCAAATTTAAATCCATACTCAGGCTGTTACTCTAGATTTCGAAACTAAATTGAATACTGAAAAAGAGAAGCTTAAATTGTAGATGTCATATAATTTACAAGCTAAACTATATCAGTTAAACATTTATGTTTATAGTTTTCAAAAAGGATTAAAAGAATTAATCAAGAAACATCAGCAAAATTTCCACTACAAGAAAATCATAACAGAATACAGAGGGCATCAAGAATAAAAGCTTATATAACACACCAAATGAGAATTACGTAAACATCAAATAATTAGATCGAATATTAGTAAATCAAGTTAAACTGGAAGTGCATAGATCAATGAACGAAATTAGAAACAAGCCTGAAAGATCCACAGCCTCCACATAATCACACCAAACAGATGATGCCAATGACACTCCATATTATTTATTCCTGCACTGTTAGTAAGATTCAAATGAAGCCAGTCCAGTAAAGGGGTTAAGAAAAATAGCGTAGAAAGATGATGCGGGATTAGGTGAAGCCAAAGTAATCGGCTATGCTGACAGTCCCTTAACACGTGGAGGATGGTCTCCTCACCTGCTCGACAGAGAGGATACTGGTCATCATGCGATATTCCTCGCCTCATTTCGTTTGGCAGCCGTCATGAGGCGACGGTGGAGTACAAGTTAAACTTCAAATTTTTATTTCTAGAGCATTGAAAAGGAAGCTAAGATGCAAATAAAGAAAGATAGAGAAAGAGAGCCGAAGAAGAGGAGAATGGAGCCAAAATAAAAACGAAAATGGAGTCAAAATATCACCCTTTTTTCATATTTCTCGGGGAAAAGTCCCCTGTTGATACATGCATTTGGCTTTTTATAGCCAAATTTACACTGATTTTACATTTTAAAATCATGCAACTTGGTTGGTGTGATGATGCTTTGATTTTTTTTGCTTATCTTCTAATAGTGGGTGGCAATGGCAACAACAAGGGGACATAGGATGGCTGGCAACAGTAAGTGGACATAGGATGCCTGACAGCTTCACGTGGGCATGATATGGCCTGATTAAAAAATGGTGTTCACAATTACTCGTGTGGCCAGGTGCAACGAATGAAAGTGAATATATTACTACATTTACTGCTCAAAATAAAACCATTTCATGTGGACCGTGTTTGCTGCTGAAAATACAACCACTTAATGTGGATCATGTTATATAACTTATATTGAGACTTCTCTGTTTTTTGCTGCTATCTTCCTTTTCAAGTTGCTAGATCATTTTTTAAAGGTGTAGCAAGTTAGAACATTATTTTTATTGCATTTAAAACATTTAAAATTGTTGTTATTTAACGGGTCGCGGGTAAGCTCGTTAGCCCGCGAGTTAAATGGTATGAGCAGCGAGCCTTAGAATTCAAGACCGTTTATGATTACGGGCTTTTTAAACCGTTCCGTTTAAACCTACACCGTCAAAACCCGCGGACTAAACGGGCGGGTAGCCCGTATACCCAGCTCTAGGGGTCAATGACCTCCTGGAAAAAATGTTGCTCCGTCTCTGGTGTTATATGACACCCTAATTTTTTTTTATAAAAAAAACTTTATAAATTTAACACCTGATTTTTTTAAAAATACTTTAACAATCCAGAATAATTTTTTTGACACCCTAAAATAATATTTTTTAAAATTTAACACCAAAAATAAATATCCTAACTCCGTTCTACCTACAATAATACACGATCCTTATCATTCTTACTTGGACGCTGATGCTGGGGGCATTCTGTTCCATTCTTACTTGAACTAAAAACCATCTATATTATGAACGGAAGATTATATTTCATTAGCGTTACCTATAATTTATGATGATGAAATAATTTATAATGACAGAAAAAATATTTCAAAGGGTAAACTACATAAATGATCATTAATATTTGAGTAACTTTTCGTTTTCCCTTTTATACTTTTAAAAGTAACAGATTGAACATAACATTATCGTTATATAATAAATCGATCACTTGTCATCAACAACAACTACTGCAATAATAAAATATTGATAGACATATGGGTATTATTAAATGAACCCCCATTTATTATTTTATTAGAAAAACCACCCTTAAACATCATTAATTAAAAAATACCTTCCAGATTGTCCACGTCATCTGATCTCACGTTTTGTGAAAAACGAGGTTTGATCTCGTGTTTTATGAAAAACAAGTTTCATGTATTTATTGTGAGCTTTATCCAAAAATTAAATGAATTTATCCTAAAAGTTGATAGATCTCGCGTTTTCAATAACACGAGGTCTGACCTAGCTTTTCACAGAACGTAAGGTCATCATACCTGTATAGTTGGAGAGATATCTTTTTAATTAATGTTGTTTGAGGGTTGTTTTTCCAAATGATGATTTTTTATTTAACAACGCCCAAATAAAGTATAGTTGGCATAAATCAAGTTACCTCAATGGTTAAAAAAATCGTTTTTGTTCTTAGAGGTAATGAGTTCGAGCATCAACAGCTGTAGTAGAGTGATTGAGCGTTCATTATCAAATGATTGAGAATACTTAGAACAGATCTTACTTTGTAATCACTTTAGCTTAATCAAAGTTTAAGTTCAATGTCAAATGAGTAGACAATATGATTATTCAAACTTTAATAGAGAAAATGAAAATTTATTCATACTTCAATGACCATTTGTAAAATTTATCCTAATTTGAAATCAGATCAATTCGATGACTTGTTTTCGAGAATCGAGATTGGTGCAGGTTTATGCCAATGATAAATTCGGTGTCTAAAAATAACGGCAAAATGCAAATGATAGTGAAATTTCAACGTCCATTTCCATTTCCATTTCTTCTAAATTTCACATCGTCAATGTCAGGTAATGATTTTATGCGTAACATCAATTTCGCATCATATTCATAATATAAATTAATAAAAAGATGATTAAAATATTATAAATTAATACCATTAATGATCAAAGTATAAATATTTAAATATAAATGACTTATTTACGTGGTTTATCCATTATATAATTTCATAAATGGAAATTAACAAATGAAAAGCGAGTGTGAAGAACGCGTGATGGAGTTGGGGGAAAAAGAACGCGGCGCGTGATCCGATGATATATCCTCCTTCAACCTTACACTTCCTGTTTCTCCTCCTCCTCTTGTTTCTCTCTTCCGATTCTCTTTTGTCTCCTTTCCCTTTTTTTCTTACAATAATTTTGGCCGTTAATCTCAACAACAAAAACACATATATACATATATTATATATACGCGCACAAGTTATTTCCTTCCAAGGAAGCCATGACTGGCAGAGATTTCCTCGAAAAGATGAAGGCATCTCCTCTCTTTTCTGGGTTTTTTCAATACCCTTTTCTTTGTATAGTTAGAATTTGCATAATCTGTTCTGTGCATATTTATATATGTATGTATTTATAATATAATAAGTGGAGCCTTTGACCTTGTTTTATGAGGAATTTAGGATGGAATGTTGTATGATTATTAGATTGTCTTCAAGTGGGTTATGATTCTTTTGAGAACCCACTTTTATTTATTTATTTTGGATGTATGTATATGGGGTTTGGATAGATCTTTTTTTTTTTTGATGAAAAATTGGAAGCTAGAGGAAATAGTTTCTGAGAATTAGTTTATGATAATTTGATTTGATGAATTTGTAAGAATCTGATTCTGGTAAAGGGAAGAGTAAGATGTCGAAGCACGTAACGCATGGTTATCATTTAGTCAAGGGGAAATCAAACCATCCTATGGAAGACTACGTTTTCGCGGAGTTTAGGCAAGTCAACAATAGCGAGCTCGGTTTATTCGCTATATTTGACGGTCATTTGAGCCATGTCATTCCGGATTACTTGAAGGCGAATTTGTTTAACAATATCTTGAACGAGGTAATCTGTAATGTCTGTCATCAGCTGGATCTTATCGTATATGCTCCTGTAATGTTTTGCTATTGGTTTCGATTGTGTCTTTGTTTTATTTTCGAGGGCAGCCCAACTTCTGGACAGAACCGGAGAATGCGATTAGGAAAGCGTATAATGTAACCGATACACATATATTGGAACAAGCCATTGATTTGGGCAAAGGGGGTTCAACGGCAGTGACAGCAATATTGATCAACTGTCAGATGCTGGTAGTAGCAAATGTTGGCGATTCCCGGGCTGTGATATGTAAGAATGGTGTGGCTAAACAGCTTTCTGTTGATCATGAGCCTGCTTCCGAAAGGGAGAGCATCGAAAATAGAGGTGGATTTGTTTCAAACTTTCCAGGTACCTGTGCCAATCTTATTTTCAACTTTATTTTGGAAACTACATTAACACTTAGATTATGACTATTGAATGTTGTTCATATGGAAAGCTGCATGTTTTTTCTTTTGGTTTCAGGGGACGTCACTCGTGTTGACGGTCAGTTAGCGGTGGCAAAGCTGCATGTTTTTTCTTTTGGTTTCAGGGGACGTCACTCGTGTTGACGGTCAGTTAGCGGTGGCCAGGGCATTTGGTGACAAGAGTTTAAAGAAACATCTTACTTCGGAGCCGGATGTGATCACTGAAATGATCAATGATGATACTGAGCTCATAATATTGGCAAGTGACGGTTTATGGAAGGTTAGTCTTGCTTAGCACATTTATCCTTTATTGAAACTGCACATTAAATCCGAGATTTAATTTTCGGTTCTTTGAAATTCCAGGTTATGTCGAACCAAGAAGCTGTTGATGCTATCAAAGGTATGAAGGATGCTCGGTCTGCTGCAAAGCACCTAACTGAGGAAGCTGTTAATAGGAACAGCAAGGATGACATCTCCGTTATAGTTGTAAGATTTCAGTGATCTGTAAGTGTGTCAACTTCTCTTGTTGAACCTTTTTCGTGTTTGATAGAATGTTATGCTTATTTTGTGTCGGTATCCGAAGCTTTCTATACATAAGCAAACTGTAATGAAGCTGTCTAATTTCCAATGAAACTAATGAAGCTGACTAAGAACTAATGAAACTAAAGTTGACTTTTAATCATTTATCGCTGATAGGATATGTATTCTGCCATGAAATTTATTAATTTGTATTGGACAATTGGAGTTCCCTCGGATAATCGGATATTAATTCCGATACTTGACATTGTTATAAAATCCTCCATCATAGTATGGTAACTTATAACTACTACATGCTGCAAGAGATTATCCATTGGTTGACAAAAGATGGGGGCATAAGCTGATGATATTTTGGTCCTTAAGCTCCTTATCTGGCCTAGAATGTTGAAAAGATGAAGTGCTCGAGATTGATAGCGGAACTCTTCCTCTTTGAGCATTAACCTGTCTGAAATCACACTTCTGCATCTTTCTTTGTGTACGACCACATGCCTCCGGCATCTCTGTTTTATGCTCAACGACCACAACCGGTGACTTATCGTGAATCTCTCGCACGTTATGGTGCCTGTGGTATGGCTTGGCATCTGCTAAATCGAGCTCACATTATTTTACTCGATGAACACAATCATTCTCTCCTAAACAACTGGTATGTTTCATCTAGCAATCCCTCTTTGCCCCCTATAGCCTCCACACGATGAGATGAATCAAAACCAAGTTTCGTTATGACTTTATCCGCTTTGCATCTACTAATTCTCGGATCTAAAAGTGCCACCATATTTGGCTTATGCTCTCGCATATTCTCTTTGAAGACTCGAAAATTTGCATCCGCCGCTCCCTTGACAATTCCACATTAAGATTGCAAAATCCATAAAAAAATATGGTTTATTATTTATTTATAAAAAAAAAAACTACCTTTACTGGCTTACACCAGACTTTCATTCGATTGTTCCGTTCCGTTAAATTGGGACTGAGCTTGCTCTTGGATGTTAAGAATAACATCATTCATAGCTTGCTGGATAGTTGATCGATCCAGGGAACTTTTGACCAGAGTCATATTCGTGTTTCTATTGTTGTTGGCTGGAGCATTCCATCGACCCAAATCTTGGTCGTTAATCGGACCATCCGTGGTACTTTGTTCTTGTTCTTGAAGGTACAATCTTCCTTCAAATGGCCAAATCTTCAAAATTAAAACATACAAGAGGGAGGTTTTCATATTTCACAATCTGAGTTTTGTTTCCAATTCCTACACGGGAGATTAAAGGCCTTTTTTAGACCGATATAGACGGCCACTCTAGTGAACATTCTCTTATGTTTTTATGGAAATTTAATTTCATCACTTCCCTGACGAACTTGTCAATATTTGTTAGAACAGACTTCTTGTACATGTATAAACTTGGGAGTCGGATCCAAGCAATGACCGTTGTGAGATACGATTGAGTGGTGCTGAAATTCTTTGTCCATGGTTGAACATTTAGGTATTGGTCTTCAAATTTTATTGAGTACTTTTTTAAGTAATTATAATTTTAATTTCTAGAAATGTATTGAGGACATGTTCCAGTAAAAAAATTCTGCTGATCAAATCTTTAATATAAATAAAAATAGTTTAATATAAAAATAAGTATCAAAATTATATTGTTTCTCTATTTTGGTGCTTAAACTATTTCTTGGTTAATTCAGATATCTAACGTTATAAATATTAACATTTTAAGTGTCCCGACTGTAATGATCATTAAAAATTTCGACATGTATTTTGATAACTTTATAAATTTATTTTCTTAAAAACTAAATTATTCTATTTAAAAAATATTAAAAAAAATTCCACAACCGCATCCCCTCCCTCTTCCTCTCACCCAATGTCCCTCCGTCCTCCTTTACCAAATACTGGCAGCTCGAATGGTTTCAAAGGCTAGTGATGGTGACTATGTCACGGGTAGCATTTTCCCCAAAACAGAATACCCAAAATCAACCCGACCTAATTGACAAAAACAATTAATCAATATGCTCAAAGAATAAACATTAAGGAAAACTCCAAGTAATTCCATCCGGCTATTCAAAGAAACGACAAGGGCATAATGTTTCATTCTAACAATGGCTGCTAATAGTTTATTAAATTCCACGATGGAAGGCTTTGGGTACTTGGCAATCATCTTGTTAAATATAACCAGAGCATCACCAACACAATCGACACCATCATACTTTTTCCCCTTTCCACTTACAGAGATGTATATCTTATCTAAAGCATATGTGGGTAGCAAAGGGATTAACAGAAGAAGAAAAAGAAGAGTGGAAAATAGAAAGAATCCTTCCAGCCTTAGCAACAAAAAGAAGAATGTGAGAAGAAATAAGCTTACCCATAACTTGAAACTAAGAGAGATGGAAAAGCAAGGGCTGAGCTTGAAATGGTGGCAGCACCAATTGAACAACTTTTTTTTTCTCGGTTGTGAAGAAGTAATATAAAAGGTTGTTTAGGGAAAATGAAACTAAAACGATGTCCATTCAAAAGTTAAGGGTAAACAAATTTTTAATATCTAAATTATCAATTTTATTCTTTTTTTTAATATATAAACTTTTAATTTTTTTCAGAATCATATTTAATGTTTAGTTTTTATTTTATTTTAGTACATGTTAAAAACTTAATGTCAAGTTTTGAAAAAATTGAAAGTTAAGATAATAAAACGTAGTAAAACTAATAGTTTAAGTACTAATCATATTAATTTTTTAACGGTGGGTACTAAAATGAAACAAAAAATAAATGTTATATATAGTTTTGAAAACTAAAAGTTTAGGTGCTAAAATAGGCTAAAAGTAATAGTTTAGGTACTAAACATTTAGTTTAACCTAAAGATTAAACCCTCGGCTCTATTACAATAATACAAATTAGGGTAAACTACAATTAATGCCATTTTTGTTTCAATTGCTTTAGATTTTGGGCACTGAAATTTCAATTCTTATTATTTGTTCATTTAACTAGGTGGTTTACAATAAAACCATGACTTTTATTTTTGAGAAAATAACCTCAGTGACCAAAAATACCTTATATTATACGAATTTAACCAATTTTTTTTGGATTTGCCAAAATGACCAACAAATTCGCAACGCGAACTCCAATTTCGCAACCCAGTTTCCAATTTCGCAACTCGAATATGTAAATCGCAATACAGAAGTCAAATTCGCAACGTGAAAGTCAAATTCGCAACGCGATAGTCAAATTCGCAATACGAATTTGTAAATCGCAACACAGGAGTCAAATTCGCAACACGGTAGTCAAATTCGCAACACGAAAGTCAAATGTTTTTACGCGAAACACAATATTAATTTCGCAACACAAATGTAAATAGTATTATCGCAAATCATCTCTAACCTAAAACCCTAAATCACAACTCAGTCCCATCTCTATCTCTCACTCTCTACGGCAACATCCGTCCCCATCTCCGACGAAATCCGGCTATCTCCATCTCTCATAGCAACCCTCACAACCATTCACGGTCAGAAATGGAAAATCAACCATCAAGGGTTAGTTTTTTTAATCTTTTATTTTTATTTTGAAATTTTTGTATTATTATTAGATTTTTCTTATATTGACGATAAATTTACTGGTAATTTCAATATATATAGATTAACCATTTCACTGAGATTGTTTAGTAAATTCATTCGGTTGCTGCCAATACTGTTAAACTGTTTAGTCTTTAACCCTATGAAGTTAGTAATTGTCTTTGTTTTATCTTTTTGTTGAAGAAACCCTAAATCACAACACCAAAATCACAACACGATTTTAGTTTCGCGTTGCGATTTTCATTTTCGCATTGCGATTTTCATTTTCGCATTGCGATTTTCATTTTCGCATTGCGATTTTCATTTTCGCGTTGCGAATTTAAGTTTCAGAAACTTCTTTTATTTTACAAATTGAAACTTGAATGAATTGCATTACTTTAATAAAAAAACAAAGACAAATACTAACTTCACAGTGTTGCTAATTTAAATTTCAAGAATAAACTACTACTATTTATGTTGTCATTGAACCTACACTAAACCTATATATTATCCTTTTAAATGTTTATATAAGTGCTTACTTCTGGAATGTTATCTGATGCATTTTGTGAACTATGATGGAATAATGACTTGGGTGAATACCGTGCTAGTTTGAAACATATTTGGCTTTGTTTTCACTGTTTAATATCATGTCTGTTTATAGTGTATAATAAGGAGTTTTTGGTATATCTAACTGTATGTTTATTGTTTTTATAGAAATTTTTTTCGGCTGCATTGACCTTAAGGAATAAATTAAGCCTAGCCACTAAAATTGCGTCGACGCTTACACCTCTACAAAGAAAATTGTTTGAGGATACTTGCTTCGGGTCATGGCTGAAAGTGCAATATACGGGTGTAGATGCTATGTTGACACATTTGTTTCTTCAGACCATGACTAACGATCTACCCGAGGGGATACAACGTGGTGATGAGGAGATATGATTTCATTTTCCTTCGGCACATACTTATTTTGGGCGGGAGGAGTTTTGCTTAATCACTGGTCTACGCTTCGGACACGATGATGTAGGTCGGTACACTAGTCATATCGCCCGCCCATCATTGTTATCTCGGGTTTTTCCTGAGCTGGCAAAGTCGAAGCCGAGTTTACACGTCGACGACTTGAAGAGATTATTTGATAAAGATGGTTTTACTCGGATGGATGACCTTGATGTTGTCCGAGTATGCCATTTATTACTTTTGCATGTCGACTTTTTAGGCAAAGAGGGCAGACAACCTATCTCCGAGGACCTAATATTATTGGTAGAGGACCTAAATGCATGGAACCTGTTTCCGTAGGGTTCATATCTATGGAAAGCTACCTGGAAGAAGTTGTCATCTGCCTTTGAGGACCGAAAAAGTTTACGGGGCGATGGTTCTAAATACACTTTGACAGGCTTTACTTGGGCCTTTAAGGTAAGAATTTCTATATAATATTTCCAAAATTATAATTAATTATTTAACAATTACTAATGTTTGTGTATTATATTGTTTGTATATTTGGATATTTGAGGCTT